GGACTCATGGGTTTTTTCTCTATCTTGAGCTTATTATTTATTTTTAATACGCATATCTCTTCACATCGTCAGCATTTGCTTGCTTCGGCGCTGGGCAGTTTCTTGTGTGTTGTCTGGCGAAAAGTTTGAACTTGGATCTGACTTGGCGCCGTATCCGTTTCCAAGTCCTCTCTGATTGCGTCGCTGATGGGTTATGAGGTCCTAGAAAGCAGCAGAAGTGTGCTAGCCTCAGTTCATCGTCAAGAGGACTGTCTTACTCGCACGCGGTGAAGCGCTGTCGGGTGTGACAAGCCGCGAACTCACTCGCATGCCACGAGGAGGACCGAGACGGCGGCACACATGCGAGGCTCAACCGTTGCGGTTTGCGGAGGCCGCAGCAAACAAGACTCCAAGGACACGGACGCGGACACAACCCTCTCTTCTCACGCACCGAGCCCAAACCAGCCCCCTGCAGTCTTTGGGTAGCATCACAGCAATGATCGCCGACCCCCAGACATCAGCCACTGTGCAACCGGCCTGGAAAGAAAGAGGCAAGGCGATGTTTATCCTTTGGGGGTTTTGGTGTGGTGCAAACAAGGCAAAATAACCACTTTTCCCTTGCCCTATGTCTCAGATGGTACCCATGGACATGGCTTCCGTCCCCGGTCTCGCTGCGAGCTTGCCCGGCTCCCGCGCCATCAAGCCACCGTCTCTCTGATACGGCGAGTCGGGGCTGCCACGTATCGCGCGAGTCTCCCTGCGGAAGAGCCACCGGGGGGGGGGGGGGGGGGTTGCCCGAATGTGGGCTTGGGATTTTTCGGCTACGGATACCGGAACCTGGTCCGACTGTGCGCCACCTCGAGGTACCTCGCTCAGGAATACAGGTACCCGTGGCGGAAGGGGGGTGAGGAACCGCACAGCCGGGTTAGGCGCGATTGGACGGCGGGACTTCCCTCTCGTTGCTACCTCGGTACCTACCTTGCTTGGTGCATGGAGGGCAGTTCCCGGGGTTGGAACACCCCTCCCTCTCTCCCTTGTTTTCTGTTGGCTGCGGCGGCAAAGCTCGCAGTTGAGGACATGCTCCTGTCATCAACAAATGTCACTACTATGCAATGCGCGGAGCAAACTACCAGGCGTGTGGGGGTTCCTAGAGAGAAAGGGGGAAACACTGAGGAAGAGAAGAACCGCTCAAGAAGGTTTTGTCTCACGGTCGAAGTGCTTAGACTAGATGAGGATATGGCTTTCGTTGTCGCACGCAAGCAATTGCGGACAAACCAAATATGTGACGACCATGGTGTCAGGGTTTCCAGGAACCTGCCAAAACTTGGAAATCCAAACAAGTCCTTGAAGCCGGAAAGGAGCAAACATGAACCCCCACGCGGGCAACATCAGGCGAGTGGGCCGACCGTTTGGATCCATGTCGATACCCGACGCCAGACGACGGGAATCGGGTCCGAGCCCGCTGCTCTTACCGCCTTTCCCTTCCCACGCCGTTGCCCAACCCGGCCGCATTGCGGTGACGACGTACAGACATGCTCTTCGGCATGCACAGCTCACGAGGCTGTTGAACAAAGCCACGTTGGCCCCCACCAACCCGGGCAAAACTGCTGCAGCTTCTGCTGCTGACCCCAAGTGCTGACTGTTTGTTGCCCCTGAGTCTCGACCACGGCCGCAGCGGCAACGACACGGCATCCTAAACTTGACCCGGAAAGCAGACTTGAGTACGGCACGGCCTCTGTTCACACCGAGGTACATACATACCGGCTGGAGAAGGGTTGTTTATGCTCAAGGGCCACAAGATACACCATATCGCTACATACTCGCCTGCTGTGGAAATAGACCTCGGCCTCGAAGGGACCCGGCTCCTGAGGCTCCTTGCTTGCTGTTGTGATGCATCACACACAAAACTGCCCGCCACTCTCACATGCTCGGCGGTGCAGTTGATGACCCCCACTCCTCACTCCGACCCCAATTCGTGCCCGACAAGGCCTGGCGCGCCGCGGGATATCAACGGCGAATATGTGGACGACCACAGTTCGCGTCGCCGCAGCTCTCTTGTCGGCGGGGGTCCGGTCATCCCCTGTCGTCACCGCAACCCCTTTTCCCATTGTTGGCGTCAAGGCCGGCATCGACAAAATCACCGGATAACTACCAGCGCTCAATATCAATCAACAACGCTATAGACGCGGGGAGGGCCGCACTGGTAATACCTATCACATGGACAGCAGTGTGACGAAAAGCCCCGTCTAATTTGCTCACATGGACCTACCTCTACATACCCACCCCCTCAGAGCTCGAGGCCTCCAACGAGACCGACGAGCTCTCCTATTTTGGAATCGCAGGTATTGATGCATACCCCCTGAACAACCACTTCCCAACTTGGTTAATTGTCTATCTACTAACAACGAACCAGACATTCAAAGATTCACTCACAGTGCGTGGGACGGTATCAGCCATGTAGATGGTGCCCCTGGCACACAGGCCTTTTGCCCTCATGGTGTATGTGTGCCCGACATGTCAGCCCCTGAACGAGGTCTCAGCTGATTATCCACACCAAGGACCTCCCTCCTCTTCACCACCCAAGCACCGACCATACGTGGCACTCCTCAAGGTTCGAGCACACGCCCTAGCCTAGGACTCAAGGGATCGTCTCGACCAAAAGCCCCTCTCACACCAAGTATCGGTTACTCATGCAGTGAGACTCAGGTCGCGAGCGAGTACCCCCTTCGGATGGCCCAGGCCGCTGATGTGGCGGCAGCCCAGACTTTACGACTGCTTTGCTGTGACTGGGCTCCGAGTCCCACGTTTCGTCCCGCTGTCTACGCCGTGCAATGTCACGTTGAGAGCCTGGTGTGACGTAGTGTAAAACCGTCGATTCTCTTTGCGGCTACTATTATTTCCAGCGGTTGTCAGCTGAGCCGAGCTTTGGCGGTTCCCTAGCAACTCACCCTCAAGCTCAAGCCATTGAGATGGATTGTAGGGGGGAACAAGCTGACATACCATCCAATGAGGGCATGCTCTCTCGGTTGTGACAAAAGGGTAACCAGTGACATTGTATTGTTCAACCCCACAAGTCAGTCTCGTTTAGATATCGTGGGTACGTCTACCGGCTCTCTGCCAAGGCAACACTATTTAGTCGGCGGCTAACGAGGGATAGTTCAATATCTCTTCACCAGAAGCAAGACATCTGACAACCCTGGATAGCCCGTCTCAAGCGTTGAATACCCCCCCCCTCCCCCCCCCCCACAGCCTAGTCCATGTGTGATGTCGGTATGCAACGGGACCTTTTCGGACACCGGACACCAACGTCATCGGCGACTGACCGCTTGTTGTAAGTTAGTTGCCTTGTTTCCCAGCCCAAGGACCTTGACGTTGACAAAAATAGCAAGCATGCGGTACCACTACAACGTTTGACCGATTCGTGACCATGTGGCACGGGGGGTAGGTAGGTATTCCACTCCATGTTCACGAGGCTCGGTAAACGCGCCACAGAGCGGAGAGGGGGAGGGAGAAGGGGAGGGCCTCGGCCAGACGCGGGTCGTCGTCGTCCCGCGTCCCAAGAACCAACTATTACACGGGCTGGTAGAGATGATGCTCGAACACATCGAAGCGAGCAAGATACCCCCCCCGGCGGTTAAGGCGGTCGAGGACTCCTCACTGCCACTCGACCGACCGACCCCCAGATACCGTTCACCCAGATACCGTTCAGAAGGGAACACACATACACCAACCTGCAGGCAGCTTCAGGTAGTACATACTTACCCCGGACTACCTAATTTGATGACTCGAGCTTTTTTCTGTCATTGGGCAATAGATGGATGGACGGTTGTTGAGATGGGCAAGCATCGTCGGCGGCCGTTTGATTGATGGTGTTGTCAGGCGTCAATTGCTTTTGCTGCCTGTGTTACTACAACTTTGTTGTGTTACGGCTTGGCGGACTTTTCTCTTTTTCGCTTCTTAATGTGCCTATTCCCCCCTTTTTTTTATTCGAAAGGGGGGACGGATACCTTCCTCCGGGTTGGTCAGTGATGGGCTTTGTGTTGTGTAACGGCGGGGTGGGAGGCGTTACCTCGCACACATACTATCAGCAGACGGGCTTGGTCACCGCCGTTTGAAAGGTGGCGTGATGGCGAGTTCTACTCTGTCTGTTTGGGGGCTGTTAGTGGTGGGTGTTTTGGTGTTTGGAACTTTGGAATTGGTCATGAGACGAGAAATCAAAAAAGGGGGGGAGGGAAGAGTTAAACCCCCACGGCTGCCTCGTGGGAAGGAGTATTATTATTAGAGTTGTTATGACTTGATGGTATTACTTGACACTTTGGGTCGTCACTGTTCGAAGAACTGCCGGAGATGCGGTAGCTTCTGGTTGCCGTTGCTGTGGGGGTAAGAACATTTTTTGAGTTAGCAGTTGGGGGGTTGGCAAGTGGTGTTCAGAATGAAAGCAAACCGAGTAGAATCAACCCATCTATTATAAGGTTGTATAATATCGTGAGCAACCACTAATGATGTGTAGTCTATATCCCTCAATGTTACTTCGACTATCTCCTGAACTAAACCACTTGAAGGGGAGAATCATCAAAATCCAAACTTGTTCTTATATCTATTGGAACGGAAGATCGATGATAGCTGTGGTGTAAAATCTAGGAGAGCCAAGGCAAAGGTTGGACGAATCAGAGAGGCGACATGTGGACATTTCGGGCAAAAACCCCGGCCCAGTCCGTGCCAAGCCGGAGGTCCGGACAATGCCCGGAGGTGCCGGCGTCGGGATCTGTTCCGGGTCATACTCTGGCTCAGGCAAGGCACGATTGTGATTTCTAGTTGGTGCATTGGATTGCCCTTGAGACACTGTCGGCTGAGACGTAGCGAAACGCGCATCCAAGTGCGGTGGCAGGCCGCAAGCCGTAGGTCAACACTCAGGACTTGGAGAGGGGCCAGTGTCATGCCAAGCTGGCCGAGACTTGATATACAGTGGAGTCGGGCACTCTGCCAACCAACCAACTACAGTGGATGAACACATCCACACTTCTTCCGTAGTATAGTGGTCAGTATGTGAGCTTGTCATTGAAGGGTCCTCCCCTCAAAACAACGCTCGAGACCCGGGTTCAATTCCCGGCGGGAGAGAAACCGTTTCTTTTTCTGGTTGTGTGTGGGCGTGGCCGTGGGCTGAGATTCACTTTTGCCAGTCGCGGCCCAACGACCGACCAACCCAGTGGTCGACGGTCCCGTCGTTGGTCGATGCACCGGCTGCCAAAACGTGACGAGACGGGCCGAACGAAACAGAACCTTTCATTTGCCCTGCTGCAAGGGTCTTGCCAAGAGCTTGATCCCGAATCTGACAGACAACAGTACCCAGCCGGGCAGCGCGAGACGGAATACAACAGATCATCTCCGTCAAGATTGACGATTAATCTGCTGCAGACGCTGTTTGCTGGCGATCGCTATCGATGCCCCACGGGAACGGCGACGACTGATCGAACGGTGCCAGCCGACCCAAGACCCCGTCACTCCGCTGTACAATATCACCTGCGGTAAAAAAAAAATTGTCGGAAACAGCACACTGCCTCATCGCGTGATGGTTCAATACGAAATGTCCCCACAACCGTTGCTGACTGCGTTGCCGCCTGAGTCAAAATATGGCCAGGCGAGGGGCTTGGACTGAGACATTCATGCTCCCAGGACTCGGACTCCCGCATGGAACGTTGCCCCGGACCGTTTCTCTTCGCGAGGTTCGTGTGAGCCCGCCCTCCTGTTCGCCCCGTCCATGTTTGCACTCGAACACTGAAACCCGGAAACTGAGCGGAGATCTTGAAACGTCGCTACCGGCAAGGCTGCTGCCAGAAGCGGGAATTCTTTCTCCTTGGGAAATCCCCCGCCAAGAAGGGGGGAGGGGGGGTTTTGTTCTTGGCTGGTGCGGCCTCCTGTTTCAGGCGCTGGGGGGGAAACGGCCGCGGCGAACGCACATTTGTTGTCCAGCAATTTGCATGCCCGGCGCGCTGTTTCGGGGCCAACAAGCGGCAACAGCAAAGCCAGCCAGCCGTCGGTAGCCAATGTTTTGGTGCTGCAGCTGCTGGCCAAGCCGACCCTCCCTCCCCTGCGGGCCGATTTGCGTGATCCTGCAGGCGTTTTCCAGGTCGCAGCCGCAGGGCAACCAGGCGCCGGGACGGGAGTGGATCAGCAGCTGAGGTGCAGGGGCTTTGTGCGGATTGGCCGAGACTTTGAGGACCCCTATTCGCGAGTCGGGGTTTGCGACTGTCCAAAGCGCAACCGCGAGGTCATGGTGTGGAAACTCGAGTTTGAGATGCAGTACTAACTACACGATACACACAAAAAAGGTGTTGTTGTGCTGTGCTAGATATGTAACCTTGTTCGGCGTGCCGTTGATCCGCTCGAAGTTGGCTCCACATTTGATGTTTTGCTTTGCAAAGCAAAGCTGACCGAGTTGGCTTGGCCTCATTTCCCCCAACACCGGCGCCAGCGCTTGGCTCAATCTGGTCGCGCGCCAACAGTCAACTGCCGCTGCCGTGTCATGGAAGAAATGTCATGTCATGCACACACACGTGTACGACGGAGCGTCGAGTCGGACGGCAGGTAAAAATAGTTACACGAGCAGGCGTCTTACTCTCATCGCAGCATCGGGCGAATCCCGCATGGCCTCTTTTGGGAGCTGGCTGAGGTGGCCATGGAAAAAACGGCGTTGTCTGGGCGGCTGAGGTGCACAAGCAGCCTCAACGGTTCGTATTCCCGGGCATTATTGGACCGCGGATGCGTCACGCCCAGATTGCCAAGTCGAACTTTCAGAGTGGCTCACGCACGCTGCAAGATGCAGCGAGGGTCCATTTTGGGCAAGCACAGCATGGAAAGAAGCATGGCGGCGAGCATGGCCACACAGAGCAAGCCATCCCTGCACGGCCAAGTTCGGCTGGAGCGCTGCGCGTGCCGTGATAGGCCGGCTCACCGCTGCGGCAGCTTCTGGCAGCTGACTTCGTAGATTCGTCCGAGCAGGCTGCAGGTCTGGGCATCATCCCTTGGGCGGCCCCTTGGGTCTAGTCAGGGGGGGTCAGGGGTCCCCAACACGAGCAACAAGGCCCCCGGCGCGATGAGTTATGGAGCGAGCCAGAAGGGGCAACCAGCTTTTGATTGAAAGCAGTGATGGGGCCCAGTTCGCTGAGCGTCTCCCATCTTCCTCCCTTTTTTCCTTGTTCATCAACCATCACACCTGCCCTCCACAGCAGATCGCAAGCCCGAATTCGTGGCATCCCACAGTCGCTTCAGTCTCTCGTTCACTGCCTCGCTGGCACTTTTTCTGATTTTATACAGTCGCTCTTAATAGCCCGCACATCCCCACCCGATAGACAACCTCACAACACTATACACAACACAACACAACATTCAAGATGCTTTCCAAGATCTTCACCACGGTCGCTGTGGTCGCGTCGCTGGTCACTGCGCAGACCTTCACCGAGTGCGACCCCACCAAGCGCGGTTAGTTTTCTCAACCCCCATTACAACCACTTTCCTAGGGGCACCGAAACTGACCAGACTTTGTCGATAGATGACTGCCCCAACCCCAAGGCCGTCGGCTCCAAGCCCGTCGATGTCGACTTCCGCAAGGGCGCCAACAGCTTCTTCAAGGTCGCCGATGGCACCAGCCTCAAGTACGACACCAGCCTCGGCGCCGTCTTCTCCATCAACAAGGAGACGGATGCCCCCACCATTTCCAGTGAGAAGTACATCTTCTTCGGCCAGGTCGACGTGACGGTGCGGGCCGCCCGTGGCAAGGGCATCGTGACCAGCTTCGTGCTGCAGTCGGACGACCTCGACGAGATCGACTGGGAGTGGCTCGGCGCCGACAACGCGCAGGTCCAGACCAACTTCTTTAGCAAGGGTTGCACCGACACGTACGACCGCGGCGGATTCTCGGCCGTCGCTGACCCCATCAACCAGTTCCACACCTACACCATCAAGTGGGGCCCCAAGCAGCTCCAATGGATCATCGACGGCGCCGTCGTCCGCACCCTGGAGAACACTGGCATTGACGGCTGCGCCGGCTACCCGCAGTCGCCCATGCAGATCAAGCTCGGAACCTGGGTCGCCGGCCGCGCCGATGCCCCCCCTGGCACCATCGAGTGGGCCGGCGGCGTTGCCGACTTTGGCGACATCCCCTTTGATGGCTACTACCAGTCCCTCCGCATCGTGGACGGCATGGGTGCCCAGGGCGCCACCGAGGCCACCGCGTACCACTACACTGACCGCACCGGCAAATGGGAGAGCATCAAGGTCGTCAACGGCGGCAACGAGTCCAAGCCCAGCGGCACCTCCACCAAGAGCTCGTCCACCACCGCCAAGCCCACCTCGTCGGGCGCCACCACCATGACCACCGTGAGCAGCTCGCACACGGCCAGCTCCAACGGCACCATCACCTCGACCTCCCTCACCCCCACCGGCACCACGGGCAACGGCAACTCGGAGACCGGCAGCGCCGAGCCCTCGGTCTCCACCGGTGCCGCCCCCACCATGGCCGGCAACATGGCCGCCATGGGCGCTGCCGCCCTGCTCGGCTACCTCGTCCTCTAGAAGAATATACAATTGACCAATTGATGACGACGACGCCCTGAGGAAAGAAACACAATACAAACAAGCCGCTCCCCATGGCGTTTTGACATATCTTCCCTCTCTCTGATTCTTCTCGGAATGGACCAGTGCTACTTTTGCATCTTCTCCCACCCTCCTTTTGGTGTATTGTTTTGTTTCTCAGTGTTTTTTTAAACCCAGAAATAAAAACATGCACCACCATATTTACACCATGCCACCACAATTACAATTGTTTTTAATACCCGTCACAAACACCCCGGGAAGGGAAAAGGGAAGGAAGGGAAGGCGGGGACGGGACAAGACATGTTACGCGCTGAAGCCTGGTTGGTTTTTTTCTCTCTCTCTTCCTTCTCCACGCCCACGCAATGGGGAATGGTACGGTACATATTTTGGTACGCAAGGCAAACAAAGTAGGAGGGACGTTTTTCGTACATGGGAGATGGGCGACGCATGAGGTTATGAGCGTGGTGGAAGCGTAGAGGTGTGGTTTTTGGTTTTTTACTTTTTTTGAATGGAGCGATACCTTGGAATCTGCGTGTTGTTGTTCTCTCCCTGCGCTGAGGTGGTGCATTTTTATGGCTAGCTTGATAGACTCCCTAGACTGTAACTGAATTGTCTTGTTGTAGACAGCGTCGAAGGCTATATTACATTATTTGCGCGTTCTTCTAGATGGTTGTCGAGTGCTGATGATGCCATGGATTGTCGATGTCGGACTGTTAAGGGGTACCATTTGGTGACGATGCCGATCCTCGTTCGTGATGTCGTCGGACTCATTCTCAATCCTTCCCGCTCTCACTGACACTTACCCCACATGGCTATCGCTGCCTGGACGCACTCCATGACCACCAATCCCCATGTCCATGTCCGGCCACACGAACACACGGGTCATCAGGACCTTCTTCTCCCTTTCTTCCTCCACACTCCACACAATGGCGCCCAACCCCAACTACAACAGCATCCCGGCCTTCCACGCCAAGCTCGCCCGGAGCCGGCGGATCCTGGCCGTGTGCGGGGCCGGGCTCTCGGCGTCGTCCGGCCTGCCCACCTTCCGCGGCGCCGGCGGCCTGTGGCGGAACTACGAGGCCATGGCGCTGGCTACCCCCGAGGCGTTTGAGAAGGACCCCGGGTTGGTGTGGATGTTTTATGCATACGTGCGTAGGCCTCGAGAGAAACGTCACACATCATGAGATGGTTACTGACTGACCATACGAAACACAGCGACGACACATGGCCCTCCAAGCCAAGCCGAACGCAGGCCACTACGCCCTCGCCGCCCTCGCAAAGCGAAACCCCGAGTTTCTGTGTCTCTCCCAGAACGTCGACCGTCCGTCCTCCCCATGTCCCATATCCCTCCCTCCCTTTACCCAAAAAGACTAACATACAACCAACAGACCTCCACCTTCGCGCCTCTCACCCCTCAAACCGTACGTCAAATCCAGACTCTTTCCCCCCCCCTTATGGCTGTCTCGGGGGGGGCCGTTATGCTCCCAAACTGCTCCCGAAACTTCCCTGAACAGGGAATTATTGGA